AGCTGCCCGATTTTGAATGAAATGTACCTTGCATTTCTGAACCCAGGGCTGACTATAGAAAGAGATGCAGGGTCTCACTACTATCTTCAGGGCAGGCTCAGCACTGCTGATGGGTGCGCTCTCCAGTGCAGTTCCATCAGCCTTGTCATTTGAGGAAATCTTGGCAATATATGCCAATTATAAGTCCTAGTTTCTGGTGACATGAGTTTGCAATGTGTTGTCTTCATAAATATTCTAGTGAGCAGTTGAGGCTGCTAAATCAGATGTTTTTAAAATATGCAGTTAATTACAGTGATGCACTGGAAGGAAGTTGTGACTGAAGAAAATTACAGAACCTCAATGCTGCAAGGGACCTCAGAGGTCATTCAGGTCAACCTGTCCAAGTCTACAATAACTCAGTAAATGGTCTGGTCAACAAGCCCAGGTTTGAATTCCTCCAGTGATCTAGAACTCATTACCTAGTGAAATAATTCACTTCATTTTTATAGCGTTCTAATTTTTAGAATGTTTTATTTTCTACTGAGGCAATAATTTTTTCTTCCATACTTTCTATGAGCCCTAGTTTCTTCCTCTGGAATCACAAAGAATAATACTAAGATTTCTTTCAAGAGACAGATCTTCAAATACATAATATAAAATCCACTTCCCAAGTTGTCTTTTTCAGTTGTTCCTATGGATATACTAGCAGAACTTTGATTTAATCTATATAAACACACTATGCTAGCCATTCAATATTCTCAAATGCAATAGTACCGTTTGCAACAATGGTAAATATATTCTTGGTCAGCATCCCTATTTGTGGAATAGAAAACAGAGCATCCTCAACCTACCACATATATTCTTTTCCAAAGCTCCAGTAACCCCTGATTAATGACCTCCACTTGCAAAGGAGGCTACTTACCTTAACCATGAAATAATGAATGCTATTGATCCAACAAGCTACTGCTACAGAGTTTTACTGATCACCCAATCTTTGCTTAAAATGGTCCTCATTTAACAATTTCACTGTCACAAACACCTGGAGCAAAGCATGCTCATAATTAAAGAGTTTGGGGGAGTTCAAGTGAGAGGTGATGGACAGAGATCTCAGCTTTCTCCCATTTATTCCTGCTTCTGAGCTATTGTTTGTGTCAGAAGGGATATTGATTTTCTATAAAAATAAGAAAACAAGAAGCACCAAGGGGCCGCAGAAGGTCAGCTTGGGCTAAAGAAGGAGGGGGAAGGTTTAGCACTCTATCTCTGTCACTTGCCTTCCAACAGAAGGGAGTATTTTCTTTCCTGTGAGATAGGCCTCTAATATATCACCTCAGGAAGGCTCCTCAGGCCACCACCAAACCAATTCACATATGAAAGAAAAGAAAAACTACATTCAATGGGAACAAACAAATGTGTTAGTGAAGAACAGAGCAAAATTAGGTTATGTATCGCCTAATTAATAGCAGCTATGTGGACAATTTGCATAAAGATAAGTAGAAAGTAGTTCTACAAAAGATTTCTTCCACTTGAGAACGGAACATATGCACAAAAAATATTAAAATAATTCATCTCCTTGCCCTCACAAAAAAAAAAAAAAAANCACCTGAAACTAATGTAATACTGTGTGTCAACTACCCTTCAATAAAAAATACTTATCTTAAAAAATAAAAAAATAAAAAATAATTAATCTCTTTGCAAGCATAAAAAATTATTACACAACCACTTTCAGTTCCTTAGATTGCTTGAGGAATTGGTTGATATAGAGTTGAAGGAAGAACATCAACAGAAGCAAAAACAGGTTATTAAGCTTCAAACTACTCCATGTTTAGTTAGCAGAGTGCATTTAAGGGTATCAGAAATAAAGCTCTGACTGAGAGATACATTTCTGAACCTAATACATGCTTTTCGAAAGAACTCCACCCATTTGTCAGACAGGCTAAATTAAGCTTAATGGTCAACTTCATCCTAATAATTTTACAGTTGGATCATATACTCTTACAACCTTCAATGTCACTGAAAAAAAGTAAAATTCTACACTTCGAGCCATATGTGAATAAACTGGTACATCCAAGCAGATTTATGAAAAGAGTAACCAAGAGGATTCTTAAAAATATTTGCTAATGCAGGTGAAAAAAGTAGGAAAATGTTGATAAATCGACTCACCAAGGTAGTGTAACATCCAAATCATAAACTACTATCTATTTAAACACACTTCTAATGCTAGTCCTGTTTATAAGGTATGCTTAATAATGGAGGGCAGAAGACTTTAGTTACACTTTACTATTGTGAGGCTGAACATAATACAGTCAAAAAGTAAGAAACACCTTTCCCCATAGAGTAGACTTAAGGGGAAAAAAATACAAAGCATTGTTTGTAACTACAGATGAGTGAACATAAGTCAAGGCAAATTTAATATCCCAAATAATTAGATTCTAAAGAAGAATTTTTCTAATTTCTCATAATGGGTAGCTGTTTTCCACTCATTATTCCCTCACAGCTACAAAGACTTTGGCATCAGCATTGTTGAAATAACTCTGAAGTCATAGATCAGGGAGATAGTCCGAATGGGGGACACGGTTTCCTGCATTTGAAGAATAAGAATTCTATAACAATTGTTACCTATTTCAATTTATCCAGGCTCTCAAATTACTAGACTATATCATCACAACCTGACTGTAATTTGCAACAGATGTGTCAGAGGTAAGAAGAAACTGGAAAAACTTTAACGCCTCACCGCTAGATTACAGATTCTGCTTTTGGAAACGTGCTGGGCTGTCATCTTAGAGTAGACAGAGTTAACAGTCTCTCTCACACACTCACTACGTCATGGTTTAACAAGAAATTCTGGAGAAGAATACAAGCTATCATCCCAAAAAGATATTTTTTAAATTGTTATTCTCAGCAGTGATTCTACTATTTGGTACATACGCTCTATGTTGAAACAAACTTTAACACCTCAGGTGAGGGCTTCAATATTGCAAAAGGCTACAAGTTGACTAAGTTCTTGTTTGACTAAAAATAGCATGGTAAGGACAAAAATCTTTATAATTGGAAACTACACATATAAATTGGGTAAAAAGGCCTTAGAATATACATTAGCAGAAAATTAGGAAAGCCAAATTATAAGCCTACTTAGCTGTGCAGACTGGCAAACATGAACTTAGTAAGAAAAATTTTTAAAGCTGGATTAAAAACCACCCATGAAAGGTACAGGCATACAGATCTAAGCAGCTTTTCCTGTTACTGATAGAGCCTTACCTCAGAGTTCCTAAGATTTATATCTTCGTTTTTCAGACTAACTTCAGAAGAATCGAAGTCCTAAGAAAGGTCATACATTCTACAGTTGTAAAAGTTAAGAGGTGATAGAAAAAGAGCCACAGAAAAGGCAAACTCAAAGGGCAGCAAAACATGATGATTACGTATGATCTCTGGAATCAGGTTTGATTTCTAAGTTTGCTAATGGGTGACCTTGGACAAATTATCTAAATGCTCTTAACCTCCATTTCCTCTTCTATAAAATACCAGTGGTACCTACCATATAGTGGAGTTGTGAACATTAAATAAGAATATTATGTTATGCACAACAGTGCTAATCAATGCTAACCAATGTTACAGTACAGGTATCCCTTAATTTTCAAAAGTTCGCAGTATCACTTTTACTATAGACAGACTCATTAGGACCTGTTCTCACTCAAAGAGGATTTTCACTTTTACAAAAAAGGCAAGAAGTGTAAAGAGCATTTGGTGTTTGTTTCGCAGTGAACCCTTACAGAGGCAGCACAAACGTGAAGCAATCACAGTTGCTCTGCCAAGCTCTTTCCTCAAGAGCTACACTCAGCATCAAGCCCACATAGCTTTTAACTGTGTCTGTGGGCATCTGTGCTTTATCTCCATTCATGCATCTGTTAGAAAGACGTGTCTTGAAGTACCAGACAAGCCTAAGAGAGGTTAAGAGCATTTCTTGGCCTATAAATGCTCAAAAATGTTTCCATATAAATAAATGGTAATTGCTTTGGCTTTAACCATTAAGTTCATGAAAGGTTTCCTAAGGATGCTCAACTTTCGATGGTGGGGGAAACCTGTAATAGAACACAATGGTTCTCAGGGACTACTCAATCCACCTAGGGAGCACCCAGGGAGGCACTCGGTTTGGCACAATGGCGGTGGTGAGAACAATACAGAGATGCCAATATGCTGCAAGGCATATGACAGTCCATCACCATGAAGAACTGACCCATCCAAACACCAACTGCATCCTCATTGAGAAACAGATATCACACATCAAGATTAACAATATTCAAGTATCAAGCTGTGGAGTATCACTGTTTCTAGGACTATCTGTGAGGTAAAAAATAAAAAGTCACCAAAACCACACTAACATTTTAAACATGTACCCATTAGAGACAAATTTTTCTGGCTCAGTGACATCTGGTGTAAGACTAATGGAACTCAGTACTGTCATTTTCAAAATCCACCATGTGTTCAGACAATTTAAATGTCAACCATAAAAAATAAACTCAATAGCCAAATGGTAAGTAGCAGAGAATTACAGCCCAGAAGTATCTAAAGCCATGATTCTTAATGAGCAAAACCAGCTTAGCAGGAACATCTACAAAATCCAAGTGCCTGGCACCAGTATTTTTCTCACACACAACAAATTTACACACGAGCCTCTGCTGAGACTCTGGTTCTAAAGAACAACGTCTATGTATGAACTACATGGTGTAAACAACAGCAGATCGTTTTTAAAATAAAATTGTTGGCTTTGCATTTGAGGTACATGTTTTAAACAATGTTTAGAAACAAATGTGTTTTCATTACACGTAGCCTTCTTGACACAGGGAAGGAGAACCATAAATGTACTTTAAAAAGCCAGAGATAAACACTGGCTGGTTGGTGAAAGGAGGACTACAAAGTCACTATTAGTGGCAGGTTTGAAAGAAAGTTGAACTCATCGGACTATGCATGTGTACCCTGGGTGAAATTAACCAGGAAAATCTGTGACTTAGGAGGGGAGATCTCACCATTCTGACATGTTCTCATCTGAGCCCTGTTTTGGTTCATCTGCTTCACACTCCATCCTTTCTTTCCTTCCCGTTTTGCTTAGGAAAGTCCTATTTTCTCCTGATTCACACAACCCGTGACCTGATGAGGTCCAGGGAGTATTCTCCTTCCAGCGAGACAGACGCTGCTTCTTAGCAGACTTGAACCTGCAGCCTCTCTCATAGCTCCAATCTGATACCTTGAGCTTCTGCTGAAGGCTGGCAGCCACCTCTGATGTCACTCGCTTCACCTTCCGCCGGCGCCTGAGTGGTCGACAAGGTGCATTTTCAGTAAAGGAGTCAGATTCATGCCAAGAATGTTGCTTACTCTTAACAATGGCGTTGAGAGCTGGGTGCCGTTTGGCTACCATGGTGTCATCAGAGTCACTAAAATTAGCAATGGGGGCCATTTCCCGACAGTCCTTAATGGCCTCGTCCAGGCTTGACTCAGAGGCCTCACTGTAGCAGCAGGTATGCTCTGCCAGGTGAGTGAAATCTGAGCGGCGCTTCCGTCCTCTCCGCTTGCGAAGCTGCCGCCTCTGCTGCCGAGGACTCAGGGCCATCTCCTCCCACAGCTCACCAAGCTTATTCTGCTCAGATGTCTGTTCCAAAGCTGAGGCTAAGTCATGTACCAGCTCATCCATGAGGCCTCATCTGCCAAAAGGAACATAAAAAAAAAAAAAAGAAAAAGAAAAAGAAAAAGAAAGCCTGAATAGGATCTGTTATTTTTGAGTATTTTATAAAATAGATCATGGCACTGCACAGTTTTCCCTATCTGTAGAAAATAAAATCAGCTTTCATCTGGCTATATTTAGACTATGTTCCTAATATCCATGCTTTCCCAAGCCACTAAACGTAGGTGTACGACCCTTGTTAAGCACCGTAAGTCAACATGTTCTTAAGGAAAAAAACTGAAATGCTCACCAGATGACAACAGGATGTAAGCAAAAACAAACACAGGAGACTAAACCTTTCCCTCTTTTCCCCATTTAAACTTGTCACTAATTTATCTGATGATGGGATCAAAAGATTAGAGAATGTCTCTTCAGACAGGAGCAGAAAAACACAACAGAACCTCATAACCATGGATGAAGTATTGTTCTATGGTCTGCAGTTAAAAGGTTTGTGGCAGGGAAAAGAAAAACAACTTAGTGACACTTTAAGTGTCACTTTAACCAGTTTTCATGATCCAAGCATTTGAAGTGACCCAGGTTTGTATTCTGAATGGAAAAAAGAGACCCACCCTGGTCCCAACTACCACTTGGAAGCTACTGGGTAAAGAATCTTCTAGAATATGTCATATACTTAATAATTAGCAACTTTTAAGCTCTTCTCCCCATCCTTTAGAAAAAAAATTAAGTGATCATTCTAATTATGAGCTTTAATACCATACAATCAATGACACAAAAACAAGATCTAACTAAGGCTGAAATGACAGGAATGGGTGGAGTCTCTCAGATTTCTAGCTAACCGCTAACCAAATTTTTCTACTCATTTTTTGAAACCAACATACTTAAAGGGGTCACTTCAGAGGCAACCCAAAGGATGTGAGCAGCAGGAGCAATGTTCAAAATGCCCCTTTAAAGGGAAATGTCTAATATAATTTGCTCAACACCTAATTAAATACATATTAAATTAGCACTTTTCCCCGAGCCCTTGTTAAGCCCAAATTATTTCAAGACCATAATTAGAACCTAAAACTCTGTGTGGCGCCACTCTCAGACCGTATTTCCGTTCATGCAGTTTACATTGTGGAAAGGACTTTCTAAAACCTATTTTCAGCTATCCCTAAGCCAATGTATTCAACAGCAGGAAAACAGTCGACTGGCTTGTCTGCCACATCGATGGAAGCAATGAGGACACCTAGTTCCAAAACTATTCAACAAATAAAACTCAAAGTGTCAAAAGTCATACATATAAAATGACCACGTCCCTTTAAGCAATAAGTAGTTGAAAACTCCATGAATGGCGTTTGGAAGACAATTGTCTCTAAGACCAAAATAGGTAAGTGGGAACATCACATCTAAACCTACTTCCCTAATAAAGAACTACTGGTTTAAAAACTCAGGCAGAACACTTTAACGTGGAATGAAGTCACCGACCAGCTTGTACGCGAACGCCTATGCAAAATTCCTTCCTGTCTAAGACAGCAATTCGAACAGTAGGTGACACAAGAACCCCGGGACTCCCACGCCTCCAGTCTCTGGTGCACAGTCCGAAAGGACCCCGGATCCAGCAAGCACTCGGGGAGAAGAAAGGCTGTCTGAGTCACGCAAAAAAAGGAATGGGAAACTGGTACAAGTGAAAAAGAGGCAGACGCAGAGTCGTAGGGTAAAGCTGGGGGGCGGAGGGGAGGCAGGAGGCAACTTCTTAATCGGGCTCACCAGGGTCAGAGAGTCTGCCCTTCTAGAGCTGAAACTGCCAAAATGCAAGGCGACTAAGCTCCCTCCGAGATCAACGGCCGCAACATGGCCACACATATGCGAAAAGGCTTGTTTTGAAGGCCTCTCCCCCATGCCCCGGCCCGCCCCCGAGGACTAGGGAGAACACGGCTCCGGACACGAAGTCTTTACACGGTCGCCAGCCCAAAAGAAACTGAAAGAAATAGGAGGTGACTGTTGCCCCGGAGACGACACGACCCTCAGTCCCCAGGATGGGGACGAGGATGCTGCAAAGCCAGGCCCGGCCACCCTCGCCCCTCCCGCCGGACTGAGAGACCCCAGGGCGCCCCTGGGCGCTCAGCCGCCGCCCGGAGCCCCGATCCCCACTGACGCCCGCCCACTGGACCCCGACCCTCTCAACCCACTCCTCCCCCTCACCAGCTGCCGCAGCCACCTCCAATGGCCGCCGCTTTTGGGGCCGAGTCTCCCCGCCGGGGTTTCCCTCCCTGATCTCATTTCCGGTGTGAGCAGATGGGGTGGGGCGGTGGTGGAGCTGGAGGGTTCGGCTGCGCGAAAGGACCCTCCCTGCCAGCGCTTCCGGTCCGCGGCCGGGCCCACTTCCGCCTCACGGCGGGCGGGGCCTCTGGGAAGCTGGGAGAGGAGGCTGGGCACCAGGAGAACACACTCGGGGCGCGCAGGGCGGTGCTTAGGGTTGGGCAGGGTAGGTGTGAAAAGAAGCCCATCGAGGGGAGAGCCCCCTTGCACCGGCCAGGGTAGCCTCATCATCTTTGGGAGGGTGAGGAAATTGGGCTTTTAGGGAGGAGCGTCGGCCCCGCCCTTACTTGCTGATACTTTTATAAACGGTGGGTGGAATGGAGGGGAAATGGAACCTCCTTAACCACGACAGCTGATACAGCCTCTGGAGGAGAAGCTTTGTAGTGAGTTACTCAGTTTTAAAAATAAACATTTCTTGAGCACAAAAAGGTGCTACTGGATTATACTCGAAGTATAAAAGTAATATCTGTGAGTCCATAATAATACAAATAAATTAATGAAGTGAATAATGACATAAATGCATTCATAAATGCGAAGAAGAGATAAATCTGGTGAAGATTTCTAAATAATTTATGTAGATACTCCATACCTCCCAACTCCTTAAACCTGGGCAGTACACAGTGACTTCCTTCCAAAAAGTACAGCATGAAAAGACAGGGGAAATGAATAACTTTATGGTGGCCAAACCAGACATGCACTACCTCAGCCAGGTGACCAAGCTGAACATGGATGTGGACTAGATATAAGAGTGGCGATTTATCTCTATAATATGTTTCTTTCAAAACATAACCCCAGTCTAATAAGAAAATAAATCAGACAAACCCCAAGTGAGGGACATTCTATAGGATGCCTGACCAGTATTCCTTAGAACTGTCAAGGTCAAAGAAGACAAGGAAAGTCAGAAATTGTCACACCCTAGGAACCTGAGGAGACATGACAACTAAATGTAATGTGGTATCCTAGATGAGATACTGGCACAGAAAAGGACATTAGGTAAAAACTGAAGAAATCTGGATAAAGTATGGGTTTAGTTAATAATGTCTCAATATTGGTTAAATAATTGTGACAAATGTGCTATCGTAACATAATAATGGGGAAAACTGGATGTGGGTATATGGGAACTGGCTGTAGTACCTTTGTAATTTTTCTGTAACCCTAAAACTATTCTAAAATAATTAATTTTTTCAATGCACATGCCTTTTGACCCAGAAATTCTGCCTCTAGGAATTTTATTCTAAGGAAAAATTGGAAATGGATGCAAAAATGTTAAATACAGGTAAATTCACCTTTGCAGCACTGTGGAGAAAGGGATGAGAAGACTGGAAAAAAAGCCAGAAATCCTACAGCAGGGTTTAGTTATCTAAATTATGACACATCTATGGGATGGAATGCCTTGGCAGCCTTTTAAAATTGATATGGAAGAATATTTAATGACATGAAAAGTCACTGATTTCTGATTGTGTATATTTCTGCATGACTGTTACATGCCAATAAAAATATTACTCTACAAATATAGAATATGACACTACTCATGTGTATAAGAAATCTATACTTAAACATAGGAATAGAACCAGAATGATAACACTGCACACCATCCAAAATGGTTCCATTATAAATGACTCTATCTCCTTCCTGTAGTTTTTATGGATTTTCAAATTTTCCTTTAGGTGAAACTTATTATGTATAGAATTAAGGGAGGAGGTCAAGAATACAGAGAGGTTTTGAGCCAGTTTGACTAAGAGAGTGGTCCGTGCCATTTGCACATCTACGGAAGTCAAGAAGAGAAACAGGTTTGGTGGGAAGATGATTAATTCCACTTTGGACATGCTGAATTTGTGACTCCCACAGGACAGAAAGATAAAAACGTTCAAAAGGTGTTCACAGCCATTAACCCTCTTCTGCTTAAGTGAAGCTCTTTCCCACAAACCATATTATCTCCCATGTTAGTTGCCTCTATCAGCTCCAAAAGCTCCTAAATTCCTTAAAATCTAGCCTTTATTTTCAGCTTTCTGCTAGCTATCTCTAATCGTTTACTCCACCAGCACCTCCAATTTAAGATGTCAAACAAAGCTTAGTTGCTTCCATAGTTCCAATCAAATCTTCCCCTTTCTCCACTGTAGCCTGTTTAGGAAATGTCACCACTATCATGCAGTCACCCAGATGAGAAGCCTCAAAGCCATTTTTAAATCATTATCCTCATTATGCCTCCATCTATTTAACTGCAAGCCTCACAAATTTTACTTTTATAGCATTCCTGCATCTACCCTCCATCTTTTGCTTTCTCTCTGCCATTGGCCTGGGTATGCAACCACTATTCTGGATGGTACAGCAGCATGCTTACTGATTTTTCCCACTTCCAGTCTCTCCCCAAACAAGACATTCCCTACACAGGCACCAGTGAGATTCCTGAAATACAATTTCACTTCATCCATCTTTTACTACTTCTTGTATCATGCTTGCATATCAGACCACTTGCTATTTCCTGAACACCGCTAGAATTTAGGGTAATTTAATGGCTCAGTGTCAATGTAACCTCCATGAAGCCTTCCCCCAACTTACCTTGTGGGGCTCTTGCAGTAATTGCCAGTATCTTTACTACAGCATTTTCTTATTTCAACCTTGAATTAGAGTCAATATTTGCAAATTTGCCTTCCCAACTAAGTTACTTATTCAACAAATATTTACTGAATGCCTGCAACATGTCTGGCCCTACACTAAGCTCTGGAGATATAGCTGTGGGAGCAAAACTAAAGCCTACTCCACTGTCCCAGAGATCCTACCCTGTCCAGTGTATCCTCACCAGCACCTAGTATAGTGCTTTGCACATAGTTGATGCTCGGTAACTACTGTCAACTAAGAAAAACAAGTATCTGTTTACTAAATGCCAGAACAAGAACTTAGAAGTGATTGTCTCAGTCTTAAGAGAAATTTAAATGAAGCTCCACCTTCAAGTGAGGGTGGTAATCATGGGCAGGACCACTCAAGGAAAGAGGGTGGCAAGGGAAGCCTGTGGGGAATGAAGGGGACAGTTCAATAGGAAGAGAGCAGTTGAAGAGAACCATTGTATAGACGCCAGAGAAGGCCCGAAAGAAAAATTGGGGAATAACAGTTCTAAGGAAAAGCTATCACCCTTACTGACAGAATAAATCACTGATGACATGGATTTTGGTCAGACTGCAAGCAGGTAACACTGGAGGCAGCGGGAGGCCAAGGGTGGAGCTCTGTTACTGACTAGTTGTGTCCAGAGCTAACAGCTTGATTTCTTTGAGCCCTTACTTCCTCATCTGTGAAGTGGAGGCAATAATAGAATACACCCCATTTCTTAGGTGGAGATTAAATGAAATAATGAATGCCAAGCCTTTAGCACAGAGCCCAACATAAATTAAATGTTCCAGAATATTAGTAGTTACTAAGAAGAAGAGAGTCTAGTCAACAAATGTCCCTCAGTTGACCATTAGTGTGAAACTCATATCTGAATGAGAATATCGACAGCTGAAAAGGATCTGAATATAGGAAGAAATAATACATTTCTCCCTCCTTTGTCCTTCCCACAAACAGAAAAAGAACATACATCATAAAAGCACATCTGCTATTGATTCCTTAGATTCCCTGCAGCTATAATAAACTGAGAGCCCTCACCATGGCCTGCACAGCCTGTGATCTGGCCCCTGACCACCTCTCAGCTTCATCTTGACCCTTTTCCATGTGCTCTCAGCACTAGCCCAAGCTCTCTCTCCCTACACCCCCACACTCCCAGGGCCTTGGCATATGCTCTCCTGCAACCAAGAACACCTGTCTGTAGGGCTTTGCAGGCCTGGGTTGGGGAATTTCATCTTTGAAGTCTTGGCTAAAATGTCACCTTCACAAAGAGGTCTTTCCTAATAACATCTGAAGGAATCCCAGACATCTAGCCATTTTCTATCTTTTTTTTTGGCATCATTAATATACAATTACATAAGCAATGTTGTGGTTACTAGATTCCCCCCATTATCAAGTCCCCACCACATACCCCATTATAGTCACTATCCATCAGTGTAGTAAGGTGCTATAGAGTCACTACTTGTCTTCTCTGTGCTATACTGCCTTTCCCAAGCCTCACCCCCATATTGTGTGTCCTAATCTTAATGCCCCTTATTCCCCTTATCCTTCCCTTCCCACCCTTCCTCCCCAGCCCCTTTCCCTTTGGTAAATAACTGTTAGTTCATTCTTGGGTTCTGTGAATCTGCTGCTGTTTTGTTCCTTCAGTTTTTCTTTGTTCTTATACTCCACAGATGAGTGAAATCATTTGGTACTTGTCTTTCTCCTCCTGGCTTATTTCACTGAGCATAATACCCTCTAGCTCCATCCGTGTTGTTGTAAATGGTAGGATTTCTTTTCTTCTTATGGCTGAATAATATTCCATTGTGTATATGTACCACCTCTTCTTTATCCATTCATCTGCTGATGGACACTTAGATTGCTTCCATTTCTTCACTATCATAAATAGTGCTACGATAAACATAAGGGTGCATATGTCTTTTTGAAACTAGGCTCCTGCATTCTTAGGGTAAATTTCTAGGAGTGGAATTCCTGGGTCAAATGGTATTTCTATTTTTAGTTTTTTGAGGAACCTCCATACTGCTTTCCACAATGGTTGAACTAATTTACATTCCCAACAGCAGTGTAGGAGGGTTCCCCTTTCTCCACACCCTCTCCAACATTTGTGGTTGTTTGTCTTTTGGATGGTGGCCATCCTAACTGGTATGAGGTGATATCTCATTGTGCTTCTAATTTGCATTTCTCTGATGATTAGCAATGTGGAGCATCTTTTTATGTGTCTGTTGGCCATCTAAAGTTCTTCTTTGGAGAAGTTTCTGTTCAGATCTTCTGCCCATTTTTTAATTTGATTATATGCTTTTTGTTTGTTGAGGTGTGTGAGCTCTTTATATATTTTGGATCAACTCTGTATCAGATATGTCATTTGTGAATATATTCTCCCATACTGTAGGATGCCTTTTTGTTCTACTGATGGTGTCCTTTGCTGTACAGAAGCTTTTTAGTT